CTGTCAGCATTCACAGACCACAGTAAGAACAGTCTCAGTTCGTCACACCCTCCCCTGCTGTTTCCCCTCCCCCGCAGCCTCAGCTCACTGCGCCACCAGTGCAATGCTCTAGGCGGCGCGGCTGTAGCACCGCCAGCCACTGGTGCTCCAGGCAGCGTGGTAAGAGGGCAGGGGAGTTCGGAGTGGTGGTCAGGGGGTGGGGGTGTGGATAGGGGTTGGGGCGGTCAGAGGGCAGGGAACAAGGGGGTTGAATGGGGGCAGGGTCCCGGGGGGGCAGTCAGGAAGGAGAGAGGGGGTTTAGATGGGGTGGTGGGAGGCAGTCAAGGGCAGGGGTTCCGGGGGCGGTTGGATGGGGTAGGAGTCCTAGGAGGGCAGTCAGGAATGAGAGGAGGGGTTGGATTGGGCGATGGAGGGCAGGCAGGGCTTCCGGGGGCAGTCAGGGGACAGGGAGAGATGGATGGGGCAGGGGTGCCGGGGGGCCCCATCTGGGAACAGGGGGGTTGGATGGGGCAGGAGTCCTGGGGGGGCGTCAGGGAACGAGAAGCGGGGGGGGGGTCGGATAGGGAGTGGGGGCCAGGCCACGACTGGCTGTTTGGGGAGGCACAGCCTCCCCTAACTGGCCCTCCATACAATTTCAGAAACCTGATGTGGCCCTCCGGCCAAAAAGTTTGCCCGCCCCGTGCTAGCTAGTAAATCTGCTGCTGTGAAACGTGGTATTAACAAACATACAAATAGCACGTTTCACAGCAGCAGACTTACTCAGTCCTGGCAAGCCTGAGGACAAATTAAGCCTTGGATAGGGAGGTCAGGAAGTGGGAGACAGGAGGGAATGCATGATAGGCCAGCAGAGGCAGCGGGGGTCAGGGGCAATGGAGGCTTGGAGCCCCATGGCAGAGCCTGCTGCCTGCCACCCCAAGGCTGGAGCCCAATCCTACATCCCCAGGAAGGTGGGGAACTCACTAGCTGCCTCCTCCTCGAGCATTTGTGTCTCCAGAGGGGGGGCAGGGTCCAACCAATGCTAGTGGCCCTCAAGGAGGGACCACTGCTTTCCTCCCCCCGCCCACCCAGGAGGCTGTGGCTACAAGCATTTGAGAAACACTGCCCCAGGGGCAATACGGAGAGGCCAATGCTCCAGGTCAGCCTGAATGGCAGGGCGGGCAGGCTAATGAGGGAAGCAAGAGGCCAGAGGGGGTCCGATCCGCTGCGTGAGCTGGAGCTGCCAGAGACAGAGTAGGGATGACTCGTGATACCAAACCCATGGAAAATAAGCAGAAATTGGGCTTGTTTTAGGCTTAGTTGGCTTGTGCGTTGCGGGCTGGCTAGTACAGTATTTGGACTTGTTAGGGCTTTTAAAGTAGCTGGTGGCTTGTAGCTTTTTTTTTTTTTGGATTGGCTCCTGGC